TAGGCTGTCCAAATTGCACTGTATAATATGCTCTGAATTAATATGTTCTTGGGTTTTTTTTTGAAATATATATATATATATATATATACATGTATTAATTCAACCTTAATCTGAGTTTCTAGAAAAGAAAGAGTGTAAGCAATTGAAATTTCATTCTAAAACCCATTTTTTTGGTCTTTTCATGGCTTATGATCTGTTAAATTTGTAGTTTTCTTTATTGGTTTTGAGTGTTTATCTTAAAACTCAAGTTTCTTGGTTCTTTGCTTTTGGTGTAAATCGAACACCATTTGTGAAGTCGTTTAAATATGTTGAATTTTAAATATATTGAATTTTAAACTGTCATACAATTTTTTTCATCGATAATATGTAATTGGAACCATAACTCTTATTTATTCAAACTGTATTAATATATGAAGACCAAGTGTAATCTATATCATCGTTAAATCTTATCTTATAAAACCAGTGGAACTTAAAAATCGTTAAAATTCATGGCTTCCGCCGCATTGCGCGGATACACAACTAGTAATTAATGAATTATGATAAAATATCATAAATATCTCAATCATTTTATAATATTAAATTAAAATTGTGCCACTTTTATTGAATCATGTACTTATGATTTTTTTTAGGGGAGTGCTAATGGCACCCCCTTTGATGTCAGAATCAGGTCATTCAAGCATTGAGAATGTAAAAAACATATATTGATGTTGATGTATGTGAGAAAGAAATTCATGGATAAGGATGCATTAAGCAATGCATAGGGTGCATTTAGCCCACCCTTTTTTTTTAATATACACAAATAATAAAAATTAATTTTTAAAACAAGCAGATTTATTATTTAATTTTAATTAAATATTTAATGGTTTCTCGTCGACTCATTAATTTATTGCATATCTTTGTCCAAGTTGCATTCCCGTTCCTTCCAAGGCTGCAAGTCCCCCGGTCGGGAAAGCGGAGTCACTGTTATTGGCCGGTTTGAATAAATCGGAATTTACATTTAACCCCCTATACTTTTCTATATTTACTATCTAGAGTGTTTCTTCTCAAATTTATTCATATTACCCCCTTTAGTCTAAATCCTTCACATTTTAATCCTTTTTTCTACCTATGTTATATCGATTTTTTTAATGAGCAAATCACTGGGAGGTTTCTTTCTAGAGGGTGTTTGTCATTGCTTATTTGAAACAACTTATGCTTTTCTATAAAAACACTTATCAACTTATTATAAGTCATAAGAGTTTAACTTTTTCAAAAACTCCTTATTACCGGTTTGGCACCGGTATAAGTTGTTTATCCAAACACTCAAAAGTGCTTATTATCGTTGTCACACCGGAACAAGTCAATACGTTGTTTTTATAAGCAATCCCAAACACCCCTTAGTATTCCAACATACCATTAATTCATTATACATAAAATAATAAACTTTTTTTTTTTTGGGTAACTAACGGTTTTTGGTTTAGTTTACACATCCGACTAATCTATTGTGCGATCACAAACAGTTTGGAGTCATCAATGAATCTTTGTGGCCACAGAGGTTTTGGCAGTGCGTACATGATACACCCTCTTGAGTGTTAATCAGTGCGTCACAACCAAAGTGGTTCATATAAGAAGTATCTGATGAATCTGATTTTGTTTTTCTCTAACTATATGATTCTGATGACAAGATTGAAATCATTTTTTTCAGTTTAATGAAAAAGTAAGTTCGATATACAGTAAGTTAGTTTCTTGAAAACTGGAAAACTATCATTGGAAAACAGTTTTTTATACGATAGCCGAGGACGAGGCGGTACCAGTAATATTTGGCTCGAGACACATTTTATCTGGTAGCTTTTTGGATTCCCATCTATAATTTGGTAAGTTATAAGCTCGTTTTTTGAATAATTGTTTCATATAGCTTTTTAATAACCTTCATGAGCTTTTTCCACTATTTCATTTATGTTTTGTGTTAGATTTCAGTTATTTTACATTGTCATCCGGTTAATCTGTTAATGTCTTACTTAAATCCCGACTATTTTTTTGTTAACCATGTCTAGGTCAGCTTGTGTGCACCTCGACTAATCCTTGTGACCCTGAATAACAGTTATGAAAATCCTCTGTTAATGGACTCGAACCAGTGACTTCTGAGAAGAATACTCAAAGACCCAACCCACAAGGTAACAACTAATTTTTCAGCCAACAAATATTCCTGTTTAACAATCATCCAAACTTACGAAAGTGAATTATCGGACACTTTCATTTGAGAACCCATAAAACCATGATAACCTTGAAAACTGGTGCGTCACATGCTATTTCACATGATTTTTGCTGTATAGGTCTTTGATTTAATGTATTGATTAACACATATTTATTTCACAATATAACTATTTTTATACTTATAAAACAAAAAAATATACAATTAAAAAGTTTTACATTGTAAACCAAATATATAAAAGTTTTACATAAAACGATATCAGTTTTCACAGTTATCGCAATATATATCGTTTTCGTTTGGTTATGGCAAGTAATTTTTTTTAATTAACCTGAATATCCAACTCGTTATGCAAGCTGACTAATCCCAGGACGACCACCTGTTTTGCAGATAGCTTAAAGTTACCGCATTTGAATCTCTGTGACCAATTTTTTTTATTTATCTTTAGATTTGAACCTAAACCTCTTGATATTTTTGATGTTAGCTAAAACTCAAACCAATCAGATTTTTGACAAGTAAAATACCAACCATGACCAAAACTGGTCCCAAAAGAAGAGAAAATTCCATTGGTTATGAAACCGAGTGGTGACCAACCGGGAACAGCCGGTGACCAACCGGTGGTGTTAGAATTAGGACCCGCGAATGAAATGATTGCACTAGCAGTTTTGACCCCTCTGTCTCTCCAAAAGCGTTCTCTCTCTCTCTCTCTGAATTCATCAAAATCTTCTTTGCTCAGAAAAAGAGATTTTATATTCTGATTATAGATGTCCAATTGATTCTTCACAACATAAAAGATTCACCAACCGTGTTTTCTGTGCGATTTAACCATAGAAAACTTGTTGATTGTGTTGAAGATGGAAGGATTTGGTGTTTTCTGGAGCTATATTCCTGAGTTTGATGTGTTAGATTGAAGATTTTTGTTGTGATTTGAGTTGATTGATTGCTGTTGAAGTTGGAGATTTAGGGGTTTTGTTGAGAATCAAGGAATTGTGTAGATGTGTTAAGAGAGGATTTCATCGACTAAAATGACATCTTCTGAGGTTTCAAGTAAAGGTAACAGAGACACGTTTTCTTCGTCTTGTTTTAGTGATAGAAATGACGGAGCTGCTGATTCGAGAAGTGGCCTGGCTATTTCTGGTGCCGGTAAAGGTACTTTTCCGGCGTGTTTATCACGGCGAGTGATTTTGGGGTTTGGTTTATGTGTAATTGATTTTGATTTTTTTTTGTAAATATGTTTTTTTGTGTAGTTGACGCGGATTTGGCTCTTTACAAGGATCTATGGCGAGCTTGTGCCGGTCCGCTCGTTACAGTGCCTCGCGATGGCGAGCTAGTGTTTTACTTCCCTCAAGGACACATTGAACAGGTTTCCTTTTGTACAACTTTGCAAATCTGGTTTGGTTATTTCTTATCTTTTGTGTTAATTTGTGAAATTCTCTTGTTAAGCACTAATTTCTGAATTAGGGTTTTGAAAATGTTTGTTATCGATGATTCTTTGTATCTGCTTGTAAGAATTCCGGTTCAATTTTTGTCTGTTAGGTTGAAGCGTCGACCAATCAGGTGGCGGAACAACAGATGCCGATGTATAACCTTCCGGCTAAGATACTTTGCCGTGTTGTTAATGTTCAGTTGAAGGTACACTTATTGAAGATATAGAACCTGACCTTGATTTTATGTTGCTGTAGAGAGTTATGTTGGTTTGTTTAATTAATATTTCATGGATGTTTGTGTGTGTAGGCAGAACCAGATACAGATGAGGTGTTTGCACAAATTACTCTGATGCCAGAATCAAATGTGAGCTTATCTTGAATTTGACTAGGCCAAATGATGTGTATCTAGTGTTTAAAACCGTGCATCTTCTTACTAAAGTTTTATGATGACAGCAAGATGAAAATGCGGTTAAGAAGGAACCAGCACCGCCTCCCGACTCACAGTTTCGAGTGCATTCTTTTTGCAAGACGTTGACTGCTTCAGATACAAGCACCCATGGTGGATTTTCGGTTCTTAGGCGACATGCTGATGAATGTCTTCCTCAATTGGTTAGGATCTTGCTTGAAAGGGTCGGTCTTTTTCTGGTTGGTTCATTTTTAATGTTGGTGATCAGGGTTTTCTTTTGCTTTGGGTAGGACATGTCAAGGCAACCCCCGACACAGGAGTTGGTGGCGAAGGATCTCCATGGAGCCGAATGGCGTTTCAGGCACATATTCCGTGGTAATTGCTGAATCTGGTTCAATGCTATATAAGCAGCTTATCTTGATATTTGGGATATAACTAAATATAAGGTGGAAGTGACCAACGGTGAATGGAGTTTTTGTAGTCATTTCTTCATTTTTGACATGATACAAAGTGGACACAAAAATGTCGGTTAAATGGCCGTTTGGAGTAGGAATCTTGAGATATTCATTTAAACGTTATGTTTTTCTCAAGTGAACGCGGTGTTACCAAATTTCAATTGAAAAATGTTTGTTTGGTTATTAACAAAGTTGCTTGAATGACATATACCTCAAGCTTTCTGTAATAATACGTGTTTGTAAATGGCAGGACAACCGCGAAGGCATCTTCTTCAAAGTGGTTGGAGTGTATTTGTTAGTTCTAAAAGGCTTGTTGCTGGAGATGCTTTTATATTTCTAAGGTAATGATCAATTACATTTGTTGACAAAACCAAACCAAACCAAACCAAACCCACCCAGTATATCCCTTTTGAAAGTAGGATCTGGGAGAGGTGGGATGTATGCAGTCTTGACCTGTAACCCCCAAAGATTAGAGCGGAATTTTGTTGATCATCCGTGTAAATATTATCGATTTATTTCATGCCCTTCTTTCTTGGCATTTGATGTGTGAATGGAATATGCAGAGGCGAGAATGGGGACCTGCGTGTCGGAGTAAGACGCGCGATGAGACAGCAAGCAAACATACCGTCGTCTGTCATATCCAGCCATAGCATGCATCTTGGAGTCCTTGCAACAGCTTGGCACGCCATTAAGACCGGAACGATGTTTACAATTTATTACAAGCCTAGGTATGTTATATGGAGTTGTATGCTCTTTTGAGAGAAAAACAAAACAGTGAATATTCTGTTTTGTGTTATATATATATCTCCCATTTTATGGTAACTGATTTACAATTTAAAATTTATAGGACTAGTCCGACAGAGTTCATTGTTCCATATGATCAATACATGGAATCCATCAAGAACAATTATTCTATTGGGATGAGATTTAACATGAGGTTTGAGGGTGAAGAGGCTCCGGAGCAAAGGTATATAATTAGTTAATTTAATATGCTACAAGGGCTGTATATAATTTCTTTTCCTCAATAATTGTATGGAGTTATTTGTCTTCGTGATTGTAAAGTTTCATGTTTTAACACTATAATTTGTTTTGTATTGTAGATTTACGGGAACTATTGTTGGGATCGAAGAGCGTGATCCAAAAAGGTGGCCCGAATCTAAATGGAAATGCCTGAAGGTATTAGTATTCTTGTCAAATCGACCTTTATGATTACCATTATAGTTCAAAAACGAACCAAGCAGACCCAGTAAATCCCACTTGTAAGTACGTCTAGGGGGATTGATATACGCATTGTTGACGTCTACTACCCCTAGAGCAGCTATTTCACCGTCATAGATCCTAACATTTTGTATGCTTCTGTAGGTACGATGGGACGAGACTTCTACCATTCCCCGTCCAGATAGAGTTTCACCTTGGAAAATCGAACCTGCACTTGTGCCGCCTGCAATCAATCCACTTCCAGTTCATAGACAAAAAAGGCCTCGGTCAAGCATGTTGCCTTCATCCCCGGATTCCTCTGTTCTTACTAGAGAAGGTACCTAAAATACTATAAGTTGTCTGATTTGAGGCAATGTGAATTATGAATTTTGTTTTTTTACAAGTTTACTTTTTATAGGCTCATCAAAGATACCTGCAACAGACCCTTCACCAGCAAGTGCATTCTCACGGGTCTTGCAAGGTCAAGAATTATCGACCTTGAGAGGCACTTTTGTGGATAGTAACGAGTCAGATTCATGTGATAGGCCGATTCATTGGACACCTTCTGTAATAGATGACGAAAAAGCTGACGCAGTTAATGCTTCTCGACGTGGGAGGACTGGTGAATCCTCGTTCGCGGATCTATTATCGGGGTTTGGGTCCAACAATTGTTCTGCAAACGAATTCTCGACACCATCCAACGAAGGAAAATTCAACTTGCACCATTCAAATCCATGGCCCATTATGCCCTCGAGTCTTTCCCTCAGCTTGTTGGGAGGCGGCATGAAAAACGGTCTTCAAGATGTTAGGTACAGTGCATTTGATCAGTACTCTGTTCATCCTAATCAAAGGGGTGGACGGATGCCTCCACCACTTTCTTCTTATCTTCAGATGTCGTCTTCTCACTTGAGTGAGGTGATGCCAAAGTCTCAATCGGTTAAACAGAACGAGATCATGAGACCAAAAGATGGGAACTGCAAAATATTTGGTGTACCCCTTGCTGGTAACACAAATATATCAGATGCAGCAGCGGCAGCAGCAGTAGGGCAGGTGCAATCACAGCGGTACCTCACTTTTGATTGTGATCAAAAGTTCGAACAATCCAAGCGTTTGAAAGTTGCGGATCATTCAGCAGTTGGTAAAGAGCAGCATTTGCAGGCGAAAGTCCAGGGTGTTTCTACAAGGAGTTGTACGAAGGTATTGGTTTAGTTATCATCTACTTGTATTACATTGTCTACTTGTACACCATTAAGTTATTATATTTCCTGATTACTAGTTCAAGAGGGAAGTTCAAGAGAAAACCCCCAAACAATGAAAAACCAAGGAACACCCTCATAACCATTCACTAGTATGGTATGCACATGTGCATACGAATAATTGAAGATGTTTCCTGGTTTCTATGCACGTGTGCATACCGGGCATGTTACATGCAAATTACCTGTATGCACATGTGCATACTGTTAAGATGAATGGTCATTAGGGTGTTTCTCATTTCTTCAATTTTTTGCGGTTTTCCCTTCACCCTACCGGTTATATCACATATCTTATGGCCTGCCTGCATGCACTTTAGCATTGTGCACAATCGGGGTTGAGGTAAGGATATACTAGGTTCGTTCAGGGTTTGGTTTTGTTGGGTTTTTCTCACATGACTCGTTATTGTTCTTCTTGAAGCATATAATATTTATATACAGGACCACAAGGGTTGTGGCGTAGTGGTTGAGATCCTGGGGCATGTGGTGGAATATCCCATCTGCCTAGGGTTTGATTCCAGCCGTACACAACAATTGTGGCCTCTGAGTTTATCAGGGGTGATTTCTTGCAGTCACAATTTGCCGGATTAGTCCGTTATAGCCACGGACACCCTTCCAAAAAAATATTTACATACAACAAAACTCACACACTCACCTTTTTTGAGCTCGAACTTGACCTCTTGGGAGGTTGGGCGCTACTGGTAAGTGGGATACTGCTGGGTCAATGACTCTTTGGTAGACTAGGATATTGTTGGTGGGTGGTATTGAATCGTAATGTGCAATAATTTCAGGTTCATAAGCAAGGGATTGCTCTTGGTAGGTCTGTGGACCTCACAAAGTATAACAACTATGATGAATTGATTGGTGAATTGGATGAGTTATTTGAATTCAACGGTGAACTAAAGAGGCCCGGCAACAGGAATTGGCTAGTTGTTTATACGGATGATGAAGGTGACATGATGCTTGTTGGAGATGATCCGTGGCCGTAAGCATTTTCTTAATAACTGTGTTTATATATATATACACACACGACAAATAGTCACACATAGAGATAACCAAAAATCGACCCCTGTCCATAATTTTCTTTTCATAACCAGTCCCGGTCCCAACCAAAAACCCTTGGCCCGGGCCCAAATTGTTCCCAAGTTTTTCTTTTTCCAAAAGAATAATTTTGAACATATAAAAAATATAAAATATCTTCTTCGATTATTTTCTATTTTTTTTGACAATATTTTATTGAAATACAATTTAAAATCTCTAGTTGCATTATTCAAATACACTTTAAATATTTATTTGAAGTCTTTTTTACAAAATATTTCGTATATGTTTTTATAATTATGATTTTTGAAATATAGTATTGAATTAAAAAACTTGAAAAACTTCCAAAACTTCCAAAAGAACTTGGAAAACTTAAAATAAATTTGAAGATTTTGGTAAAAAAAACTTGAAAATCTTGATATACAATTTATAAGAACTTTTTTTTGTAAAATCGGGCCTATGTATACCCTGTCCTGGTGCCATAACCGGGGCCGGACTGGCCTTGAATTTTCAAAAACCATAACCGGTTACGGACCATTGGGCCAGTCCCAATCAGTTCTGGTCCTAGGCTGGTCCTGTGCCGGGGATGAACCCATTTTAGCAATCTCTACTCACACATACTCCTCTCCTTTGGTGAAGATTTGATCCCATTGTGCCAAGACCCCCCCCCCCCCCCCCCCCCTTTTGTCCTAAGCAGTTTGATATTGTTGATTTTGTATTTTCAGAAGGTTTGTGTTCTTATTGTGGTGTGTTATTTGTTTAGGGAATTCTGTGGGATGGTTCGGAAGATGTTCATTTATACACGAGAGGAGGTTCAGAGGATGAATCCCGGGACTCTAAACGATGACAATTCATCAGTAGCGGAAGGCATGGATGAAAAGGATACAAGGAAAAACGAGAATGCATAAGCAACTGCTTTCGTTCGTACGAGTAGGTAAACTTTCTGTAACTTTTGTTGACGTTGATGTAACAAGTACGGATCCATAAATCTTTTCAAGCGGACCACAAAATAATTAACATAATATAAAATAAAATCAAATATTAATTATGAATGAGATACAAGCGGTTTTTTGCAACACCCAAATCGTTTTTTCCTTCTTTTCCACTGATGTTATCAAAATTAAACGAGAGCCAAAGGGATATTATCCCTCCCTCTTTAAATTCGCCCATGGAGTCTGCATTTGCATAATTAGTGGCTTTTTGATTGGTTTTTCTTTATGGCAATAAAGTTGTCAGTGTGGGTTAAATTAATATGTTTGTATAAATTGAGAAGGTTTTTTCATAGATGAAAGGACCGTGTTTTTTAATTGGGAGGGACGGGTTTGGAAAAACTTGGCTTTATGCATAGAACTTTCCTTAAAGTCAAAAGTACCTGGAGGTCCCAGGTTCAAATCCAAGGAGGAATAAGAAACCCCTTGTGGCCACGGAGGTTCAAATGCGGTGACTCCAGGCTATCTGCAAAGCAGGTGGTCACCCTGGGATTAGTCGGCTCGCATAGTGGKTTGGATATCCAGGTTAATCCAAAAAAAAAAAAAAAAACTTCCCTAGAAGCTTAATGAATAATCCATTTTCTATATCATTAAGCTACTACCAAACAGTCATGCATAGCTAACCAAATAAGCTCATTAAGTTGCTAAGAAACTGACCTTAAGTATCCACTTTCAAAAATGTCTAATTTATAATTCTATTCTTAATTATGAGGTGAAAAAACCTTATATTTCATTTAATTAATTAAAAAAATGTAATAATTATATATTTATATGATATTGATTTATGGAATTTTACTCTTACAGGATGATGTGGTAGGTGAATTAGAAGAGAGAGAGCATAGCATGATATCCAATTGGGAACAAGTGAAATAAATATGTGAAGATAAGATGATGCTCCAACTTCTGCCACCCTTTTGGTAATATATAAATATGTAGAAGTATTTTTCAATTTTGGAAAGCTGGAGCTGATATATATATATATATATATATATATATATATATATATATATTTAGTATATGATACACAAGATAAATGTAATATGGAAGATTATTGAGGTGAGGATGATGGTCTGTCTGTATAGAGGTGTTTTTGCATGCATGTAAGAGATTATATGTGAATGAAGCCTGAATCTTACTTTTACCACTTGTTTTTATTATTAGATTTGTGTATAATAATATCACTTGTTGAATGGTTTGGTGCACGTTGTAACACAGTATGACATGTTTATGACGCGTTATTTTATTAGGCATGGTTTTCTTAACTTCTTTTTAGAGCATATAACTTGTGGGATAAATGATAATTATGCACAACGCTTGTGACTTTGGACGAGAAATAAAGGCTTTGCAGCAAGYGGAGTTGTACCGAAATTCCATTTTGCTGGCATACGAGAAAAGTCTCTAGACGAGCGTGTTTGTTTGCTAGTTTCTTGATCCTGGAAATCTTGTTCTTAGAGTCATGAATAAAGTGGACTACCTAGCGACGGAGTTTGGGACCATTCACCCTTTTCGTAGAAGCCCCCCCTTTTTTTATTAACCTAGATATATCCAACCCGCTATGCGAGCCGACTAATCCTAGGGCGACCACCTGCTTTGCAGATAACCCGGATCATCGCATTTGAACCTCCGTGGCCACAAGGGGATTTTTATTTCTCCTTGGATTTGAACCTTGGACCTCCACGTATTTTTGACATTTGGAGTCAAGTTCAAACCAATCAGGCACCACCCTTGTGGTTGGTAGAAGCCCTCTTTCCCATACGCAACGATGGTTCTAAGCAAGATGAATAGTTTATAGTCGACACAATGTCAGCGAAATCCCTCCGCTTAATATCTTTAGTAAACAAACATTAAAAAGAGACATAAGAGTATCCACAATGAAAGTTCTTGTTAAGGTTTTTGTTGGAGTTTTTATAAAAACCTCCACTGTGGGATAAATGTATTTTTATAAACCCATGTGATTGAATAAGAACCCGGGTTCTTGTATACGCTTTTTTTTTTCTTAGCCATTTTATTTTGTTTTATTAATCTATAAAACAAAATAATAATTAATTATCATAAAATTAATTTTTAATTTTGTTTTAGTTTTTCATTTTTCATGTATTTTTATATGTTTTTCAAAAATCAAGAAAGCTCTGAAATGCATCCAAATTCTCTATATCTCCGACGTTTTCCTACATTTCACAATATCCTCAAATTTTTTCAAATATTATTCATTCTCCAATTTTAATCCTCATCCTTGATATTAACAAATTAAAATTAATATAAAAATTTTAATAATTTTATAATATATACAATAAACTATAAATAGAATTAGATTTTATAAATAAAAAATTAAAAGTGGGGTTTTTTTAACCCCATTATGAAGTTTTATTGACAATTTTTTATTAACCTGGATATCAAACCCGTTATGCGAGCCGACTAATCCCAAGACGACCATTTGCTTTGCAGATAACTCGGAATCACCGCATTTGAACCTCCATGGCCATAAGAGAATTTTTATTTCACCTTGGATCTGAATCTGAGACTTCCTGGTACTTTTGACTTTTGAAGTCAAGCTCAAACCAATCAGGTACCACCTTTTTGGTTGACATTTTTATTTTTTTAATGTGACAAAAAATATGAAATATAATCAATTAATAAAATAAAGTTTAGTTATTCTAAAAATACAATATATAGAAAATGAAAATTAATTTGATTCGTTTGTAAGAACCCACATTGGTTGGGGAGGGGAATGAAAGTAGCATTACAAGGGATTGAATAACTTTTCCATCAGATACATTTTAAAACCATGAGTAGGACTATAAACAAACCAAACGAACACAAACAAAGGCTTGTTCATGTTCTTCGTTTAACTTAACCGAACGAACATGAACGGTAAACGGACGAAAATATTTGTGTTCGTGTTCGTTCATTTAGAAATAAGGTGTGTTCATGTTCATTTGTGTTCTTTCGTTAAGAAATCAAGTGTGTTCGTGTCCGTTTATGTTCGTTCATTAGCATGCTAAACGAACATAAACGAACAGGTCTAAACTAGGGGTGAGCATAGGCGGGTACCCGCCCTTTTTGACAGGAACCGGAACCGGCGGTTCTTGAGATATTGGATCCGGAACCGGAACCGGTTAGAGCGGTTCTTGAATTTTTGGCGGTTCCGGTTCCGGGTACCCACTTCATAAAATATTAAAATTTTGTTATTTAGAAATAAAAAATAAAACAATGCCAAAACACTAAATTAAATAAACAAGAATACAAATTATACGGAATAATGGTTACAAATATTGTTTAACGATTATAAACCATAATAGACTAATAGAAAATGTTCAAAGTTTAACGATTACATACTATAATTGTAAATGTTCAAAACTTAACGATTACATACTATGAAGTATATAGTTTAGTAGAACTA